CAAAGAGATCTTCACCCAGACACATGGTGCTCAAGTTCTACTCCAACGAAGACAAAGAAAGAATCCTGAGACAAGTATGAAGCAGAGAAAAGATCACATACAGGGGAAAACCAATCAGAATCACTGCTGACTTCTCCAAAGAGACCCTACAAGCAAGGAGAGAATGGACAAAGATCTTCCAAGTCCTGAAACAAAACAACTGTCAACCAAGAATAATGTACCCAGCAAAGATCTCATTTGTATATGAAAATGAAATCAGATACTTCCATAGCAAAGAAAAACTAGAATATGCCAACACAAAATCAGCTCTGCGAAATCTCCTTAGAAATGAGCTAATCCCAGGAAAAAAGGAGGCAAACCACAAACAAAGATGGCAAACAGGAAGGTCTCCAAACTAAAGCCCACACAAAGAAGGGCAATTACACAGATAACACACACAAAACACAATCGCATGGCAGGGCAAAATTGCAACCTCTCAATTTTAACTCTCAACACAAATGGTCTAAATTCACCAATCAAAAGACAGAGATTAATAGAATGGATCATCAAACAAGACCCAACCATCTGTTGCCTACAAGAAACGCATCTAACCGGAAAGGATGCAAAGAAACTGAAAGTGAAGGGATGGAAAAAGATATTTCACGCCAATAGACGAGAAAAAAAAGCTGGGGTAGCTATCCTAATTTCAGACGAGATAGATTTCATTCTAACTAACATCAAAAGAGACAGGGAAGGCCATTTTATACTGGTGAAAGGAATCCATCAAGAAGCAATCACCATCATTAATGTTTATGCACCGAATCTTAATGCACCTAGTTATGTAAAGCAATTACTTACAGACTTAAGGGAAGACATAGATACCCGCACAATCCTTGTAGGCGATCTCAACACGCCTCTAACATCAATGGACCGGTCTACGAAACAAAAACTCAACAAAGAAACAACAGAGCTCACACAAACAATAGAACAACTGGACTTAGTAGACATATATAGAACTTTTTATCCTAAGGCCACAGACTATACATTCTTCTCAGCGGTGCATGGCACCTTCTCCAGAATCGACCACATGACAGGACATAAAGCGAATCTAAACAACTTCCAAAACATTAGTATCATACCATGTACCCTCTCAGACCACCATGGGATGAAACTGGAAATCAACAACTCAAAACTCCCCAGGAAGTATAGGCACTCTTGGAAATTGAACAATATGCTATTAAACGAACAATGGGTCAGAGAAGAAATTAAAGATGAGATCAAAAAATTTATGGAAACCAATGAAAACTCTGATACAACATTCCAAAACTTGTGGGACACCGCCAAAGCAGTGCTACGAGGTAGATTCATCGCAATCGGAGCCCATGTTAAGGCCCAAGAAAGACGCCAAATACAGGAACTAACCACACACCTCCAGGATCTGGAAAAACAGCAGCAGCAGAGTCCCACGCACAATAGGAAACAAGAAATCATCAAAACAAGGGAGGAGATAAACCAAATAGAAATCAAAAAAACTATACATAAAATCAACAAATCAAAAAGTTGGTTTTTTGAGAAAATAAACAAAATAGACACTCCACTGGCCCGATTGACCAAAAAAAAAAAAAAAAAAAAACAAGAGAAAGTGAGAATCAATAGCATTAAAGATGAAAAAGGCAACATAACAACAGACACTGCAATCATTAAGAAAATAATTAGAAATTACTACAAAGAACTGTACTTCCACAAATTTGAGGACCACCAAGAAATAGAAAAGTTCTTGGACTCCCACCACTTACCAAAACTCAGTCCGGAGGCAACTGCAGAATTAAATAAACCCATAACCGAGGTAGAGATTGAAACAGTCATCAAGGATCTCCCAACGAAAAAAAGCCCAGGCCCAGACGGCTTCACTACAGAATTCTACAAAACATTCCGAACAGAACTAACCCCAATCCTCTACAAGCTCTTCAAAACAATAGAGGAGGAAGCAACCCTTCCAAACTCATTCTATGAAGCCAACATCACCTTAATCCCAAAACCGGGCAGAGAACCGTCAGAGAAGGAAAACTACAGACCTATTTCTCTGATGAACATTGATGCTAAAATTCTCAACAAAATCCTAGCCAATAGAATTCAAAAAATCATCAGACAGATCATTCATCCAGATCAAGTAGGATTCATCCCTGGAATGCAGGGATGGTTCAACATTCGGAAATCCATAAATGTAATACACCACATCCAAAAACTGCAAAACAAGAACCACACAGTAGTATCAATAGACGCAGAAAAAGCTTTCGACAAAATCCAACACCTCTTCATGCTAAAAACTCTAGCCAAGGTAGGCATAGATGGAAAAATCCACAGCATAATCAAAGCAATATATGAAAAACCCAACACCAGTATCATACTGAATGGAGAAAAGCTAGAACCCTTCCCACTGAGATCTGGAACAAGACAAAGATGCCCGCTATCACCACTGCTATTCAACATAGTCCTAGAGGTACTTGCAGAAGCCATAAGAGAAGAAAAAGAAATCAAAGGCATACGAATGGGAAACGAAGAGGTCAAGCTTTCACTATATGCAGATGACATAATCCTGTACATAGAAAAACCAGGAGACTCAATACAGAAACTGCTAGAACTTATACGAGAGTTTGGCAGAGTGGCAGCGTACAAAATTAATGAACGAAAATCAACAGCCATAGAGTACACAAATAGCACCAAGATGGAAAAAGATCTAACCAACAAGATACCATTCAAAATAACAGAGAAAAGTATGAAGTATCTGGGAATAAATCTAACCAAATGTGTAGGAGAGCTATTTGAAGAAAACTACAAACTATTCAAAAAAGAAATTGAACAAGACCTCAAAAGATGGAATAGCATCCCATGCTCCTGGATAGGCAAAATCAGTATCATTAAAATGTCTATACTACCACAAGCAATATATATTTTCAACGTAATTCCAATCAAATTGCCCAAAACATTCTTCACGGAACTCGATACAATGATTCAAAAGTTCATCTGGAAGCACAAAAAACCAGGAATAGCTAGAACCATCCTGAAGAACAAGAGGTTAGCAGGGGGAGTCACAGTTCCGGACCTCTGGACATACTATAAAGCAGAGGTTATCAAAACAGCCTGGTACTGGCACAAAGATAGAGAGGAAGATCAATGGAATAGAATAGAAGCACCAAAAGAGAACCCACACAGATACAGCCAATTGACCTTTGACAAAAAGACCAACGACAGTCCAAGCAAATGGGAAGGCCTCTTCAGTAAATGTTGTTGGGACAACTGGCTGATAGCCTGCAGAAACAAAAAGATAGACCCACATCTATCACCACACACTAAGATCCAATCTACATGGATAAAAGACCTAAACCTACATCCAGAAACCTTCAAATTCTTGCAAGAAAATGTAGGAAATACCCTGGGCTGCAGATTGGTACAGCCTTTATGGAAATCAGTATAGAGAACACTTGAACAACTCAAAATCTACATACCATATGACCCAGCAATAGCACTCCTAGGAATATATCCAAAACACCTGTTTCACGACAAACCAACATGCACCCCTATGTTCATAGCAGCACAATCAGTAATTGGAAAAACATGGAAGCAACCGAAATGCCCATCAGCAGAAGATTGGATAAGAAAGCTTTGGTTCATCTACTCCATGGAATACTACTCAGCTATTAAAAAAAACAAAATGCAGTTCTTTGTGGCTAAATGGGCCCAACTGGAAACTATAATGCTAAGGGAAATGAGCGAATCCCAAAAGGTTAGATATCACATGTTTGTCTTAATTTAACCTGTATTTTTTTTCATCCTGTCATTGATACTGTCTCAACACATGTGTTTTGAAAAATTGAACTTGCATTATTTTTAACATATTGTTTACTCAATACTATGTCAATCAATTCCATAACACTATATACTGTTGCTGATGTTTTGTTGGGGCTTTTAACTGACTGGGATTTTACTCTATTAGCTTTGCCTTCAGACCACGGAAGGCCTCCCCAAGAAGCCGTTAAAGTTACCAGGACAATAAGATGCTGGACTCAATTCTGGGTATGTGCTTGCAATGAAGGAATCTCAACTGACCTTGAACTGTGGTTATGCACCATGGGGAGAGGGTTGTGGGAGGAGCAGGGGAAATCCAAGCACCTATAAAACTGTATCACATAATACAATGTTATTAACAATAAAAAAAAAAGATTATTTAAAAGCTGTCATCAGAGCTATTCCACCACCTCTCAGGTTATATAAAAGCATCTGGAAAGCTGGAAGGGCCTCTCAAGATGTTTTCCTTCACAAATCTCCACAGTAAAAATGAGAGGAGTCATGAATACTGTTCCTAGTTTCCTGAGACGAACCTAGGGTGAGGACTGTCATCACATCTGAAATATTTTAACAAAGGCCTCAGGTAATTGTTAATAACATTCTTCCAGGTTCTCTTTGCGGCACAGGAGATTTCAAAAATGTGACGTCATGCCATCGGCTAGGTTTCTCCAACACAGTTAAGTCAATTAGGACGGAGCTCTGTTAGTGACAAAGCGTGCTGTTTTCCTGCTTGGTGGTTGCTGTCTGGCACTGAGGAGCCTTGCAGATGGTGGTACTCAGTCTGCACACTGCATGTGTACTTCGCTGTGCTACTGCAGCTGTTCCTGCTTCAGAGGCAGGGCTGGGAGGGGAGTGGTGCCACCGCGTGTGTTGAAATGTCCGTAAGACACTGTCCAGCTCTTTGGCCTTCTGCTAAAATTTAGAAGTTCACACACTTTGGAAGTTCACTTTCAGGTTTGGTGATAATTAGCCTTTTCCCCCTCTTTCTGTTTTGAGCTGTAACCTTCCCGAGGTATGTAGGTACAAAATTCTGGATGATATATAGTAAATGATCAGTTATATGGATTTATATTATGATTGCTTTGTTAAGCCTATACCTTAAGGTGATGTTAGCACAGATGTACAACATCACACAAATCAGGGCAGTAGTATGTTATCTTCAAAAGAACACTTACCAAAGGGGATAATGCTTATCTTCACCTTTACCAAATACAACCTCTCGGAGATGTTCATATGTGACCATTCGGCCTCCAGAGTACACTGTATAAGAACGATCATTAAAAAAAATAGATTCAGTGTATATTAGAGAAAAGGGCACTGTGACCTGGCTTTCAAACTCTAAGGCTCCTGACAGGGGCTTATTGGTGTTTCCCCCAACAGGGCAGGTCCTTTGAAGTCACAGGACTTCTTAATTGCTAATGGATCCCCTGCTCAGTTTTGCTAATTCTTCCTACTCTTTAAAGCCTCAATGAAAAGAACATGCTGTACAGAACATGCTCCCTGATCTTTTCCTATCTCCAGGCTAACACTGCAGATATCTAAAATAGCCAGCATCCTGTTGGGCAAATACTGTATTTTTTCTTATCTTCCCATCAGACTGAATTTATCAAAGTAGACTGTGTGCATTTTTAGTACATCAAACTAGTACACAGCATGGCACAACCAAATATTTATATTGTAGTGCCTGTATTATTTCCTTTTTTTCAGTTGGATGTCAAACATGGAATATGGCCTAACTATTAAACAATAAATAGTGGTTTAAAAAAAAAACTCAAGTAGAAAGAAGTGAGACTCAAAAAATAAGAGGACACAAAGATTTTTAAAACAATTTAAATCAGCATATGCTATCCCTTTATAAAACATCTCTTGATATACAAGATGCTTGATGAAATACTGTAAGAAAATTTAAAAAAAAATAGATGAAATACAGAAAATCTAACAGTCTCTCAGCAAAAAGAGAGTACCTGAGCAGTCTACTCAGGTTTATCTATCTCAAGAAGTAAGTCTTTAAAATTAAGCCCACAAGTGTTATACCTGGACACTTTTCTGATCAAGGGCCCCCCTCATGAGGGTTCTAGAGAAGAGAAACACACACACAGACCACCTAATAACTGTCCTTTTTACTTGTACTGCTTTGAAAGCAGAGAAGTGTTTTCACTGGCACTGTTATTTCCATCTCCCTTCACTAATGACTAACAGCTCATGCATTAGGTAGCTTGGGCAAACAAAGCACAATGCACTTAGTCTGCTCTTCCTTGTGGTATTACCAGGATTGATTTAGGCAGAGATCCCTGTTCCTTTTTGGAATAGCTTCTTCTCTGCCACCTGGGACTGAGATGCCTATGATACGGTACTGTGGTAATGTTTTAATTTTCAAAGCACATGAAAAAACGAAATCCTGTTTATAAACCTTACAAAAACCTTGTGTTAGGAAAAAAATTTAAACCTGCAAAACCAGGGAAAATAATCTAAGGCAGCGTCAATTCCTGTATATGTATAATTGAAATTTATTTGCTAACATCCTTGCTACAGGTGCTTTGATTTCCTTTGTTAACCATATTATAGTACTATTTATTTTACAGTACTTTACAGATATCACGATGGTTGATCTGAAAACACTTCTGTGTGAATTTCAAAATATTTAGTATAGTAACTTCCTAACAGAATTGTTGGATGATATTTTTCTAAATTTCTTAAAAAATTAAATGTTCATGTACCATATGTCTGAGACACAAAAACCTAACTGGCTTCTGGGACAAAGTGAAATAGAAAAGTAGAGTCTACACATATGACACTCAGAGCCAACTTACCAGCTGGGCTCAAGATAAATACCTACGTGTCTGTAAATGGCAGGCGTCACTCCTTGCCAAAGCTTCAGAAAGCCTTCCTCTTGGATGATCCCTAGGGCTGTGCGCACCATGCCCCTATAGGGGACAGAGCCTCTCGCACCTTCTCCCAACCGAGCAAGAGCAGCTTCTCCTTGCATTTGGAGTCGAGTTTTTGTGAGATCAAGGGGAAAAGTTGCTAACAAAAAGAAAAACAAATGAAAGGAAGAGCCCACAATATTTACAAAAACAAGCAAAAATCACCCTGAAATCATGGCACTAAAATTTCCCCAAGATGAAAGTTCCAAATTCTAGGATATATCAGTCAGCATGGGTAAACTTTAAAGATTACTGATTTCCTAGCCTCCTGCCTAGGGATTCTAATTCAGTAGTTGACAATTAGCTGATCCTCACATACTCCTAAACAGAAAAACAACCAGAGCCATTTATTCCAGATCACCGATAAAAAGAAAGTTTAAAAGAAACAATTCTTTATTTTGCTTTCAGCAATTCAATCCAAAATCTACTTTTGTTCTCAATTTTTGCTTTCCAGCAAAAATAAAGTATCCAGATATATTGTGCGACATTATTTTCTGACTGCAGCCTTCACTGTTCAAGACCTACCATGACTTTAGAATACTATACCATATATTACCCACCGCAGTAAGCACGGACAGAAGGTGAATTCTCTTACTTCCTGAGGGGTTTCCATGCAGATGAATCGTCATCCTGCCATCTGAGGTACTAAACACGTGATGGAGTTTATCACGTCATTTTTTACGCACAAGACTGCCATACTTAGTATTCTTTCATTTAGTGTACATATTGATTTGTTATTCCTGGACTGAGACCCACTTGTGACCTTGTTGACAAGTACTAACTATACATTTGTAGAGAAATGTTCTGTTGCTATTCTGAATTGCAGATACACCTTTTACTGTACCAGAGCTAAAGGAATTAGCCTACATATGGAAAATCAAATCACAACTTTATATCTATAATGTCCTTAATAACCTAAATAACCTCCAAGCAAGATCAATGAGCACTACCTAATACGGAACCCTAAGGATGCCTACTCCTTAAAACAAAATAAGAATGCGAAGAAGGCAAGAGAATATTAAATCGTAGCTTTGAGCTCTGGAAAAGTCATTATCTTGCTGATAGTTTTCCCTAAAAAGAGAAGCAGCTTTCATATTGAGACTATTAATCAATGTATTATGGACACGGACTCAGTCTTAGGAAACAAGAGCTTCTAGGTAAGCCTGTCCTATGTTTCTCCAAGTAGTTTTTCTTTTCTTGTTGGTTCTATGGGTAGTAATTTAGGTTCTGAACCTGGATTTCTACTTGAAGCCATCCCCTTTTCTGAAACCCCTGCTCTTCCCCACATACCCGTTTCAATGCATTTTTTTTTTTTTTTTTTTTTTTACAGTAGAAACGGACCATTGAATCACAAGGGGAAACATCAGTCCCGAACAAAACCCAGGACACAGAGCTCAGCATTCAGCAATCTGCTCTGGAGCCGCTTTAAAAGCTAATGGGTTTCAGCAAGAACATGAAAAGCAAAAATTCTCCATCAGATCGGAGAGGAGACAGGAAATAAAACACGGAGAGGTCAAATGGCAAAGATGGAAGGGTACAATGGACAAAACATACCACCTGCCGGCAACGCTGGACAAACAAAACAAATTTATTTTAGAACAGGATACAATAATGTTTACAAATGGTCAATGCATCAAAGCTGTTTCATCCAAAAAAAAGAAATGAAAAGAAGTAAGGAAGGGTAAAGAGAGAGGGAGGGCAAAAGAGGGGAGGGGGAGAGGGAGAGAGAGAGAGAAAGAAAAGGCAATCTTAAAATATATAATAAAGGGTTCTCCAGGCGCTCCAGCCTAAAGCTATGGAAGAAACATCACCTGTGCATGCGGGGCCTACAGAGCCAGTCAAGGGCCTCTTAAAGTCTCCTCTGACTCACTCAGGCAGCAAGTGCGTTCTATGCTCATTCTATGCTACCAAATAATACTTTCACTGTAATAAGCAGCACATCATGTCTCCCCACCAGCTGGTAAGAACGTCAGAACTGGGTCTTTTCCACTGTTCCAGCCACGGCCTTACTACTGTGACAATTACAATCACGTCCTAATTAACAGGTGCCCTACCTTGGAGCTAACGTTTACATATTACGGATTTTTCAGGACCCTCCGAGCTAAACACGGTACAGCTTAGTTACACTCAAAAGAGGTCAATTCCTTGGAAAATGCTGGGCGACAGGTTAATCAGGGAAGTCCCACAAAGTCCCACAAGGTGTGTCCGCAACTTTGGACCCCAAAGACAAGGAAGGACACACAGACTGTGGAAGAACAGAAATCTCAAACAGAGCCGCCCACTCAACAAGCATGGGGAGGGGGTGGTCTACGGTCGCAAAAGGCAAAATGATTTGCCACAGCTCACAATGCTTCTCAAAGTGCACAGGGAGTCAGCGCATCTCTGAGTGAGGAGGGAGACAGCCACAGCCTCCTCCCGGTCCCCAAGCCGGCCTTGCCCCTCATCCTGACGCATCCACCCGGCAGCCCTGGAATCCGAGGGGCGCGCCTCACCCCGACCGGCGGCCTTGGTAGCCGAGGGGCGCCCCTCACCCCGACCCCTCAGCCGGGACGCCGCCCGAGCCTCCCAGCCCCAGCGCCGAGCCATCGCCACCCCTGGCCCCGGAGGCCCGAGGCGTGGGCGGCCGGGTACCTAGCTCGGCCACGGTCGCTGCGCAGCCCGACAGCAGGAACTTGCTGGCCCGGGGCCATCTCTGAGCGAGCGGCAGCTTCTCCTCATCCTCCGGGACGGACATTCAGCGGCCGGACAGGACGACCATGCACGCTTTCTCGCCAGTGCACCGCGCCGCGGCTGGCCTGCCACCCTGCCAGGGCGGCCCCCTCTCAACAGACAAATGGCTGGGCGGGGACCATTCCCCTAGCTCGGCCGTGCGAACTCGCAACCTCCTTAGCAGCTCCAGGCTTGAGTGGTCCAGCGTCCTGCGGTACCACACAGCCCAACAACAAACAAACCAAAAACCCCAAAGGAAAATTAAATAAATAAATAAATAAATAAATAAAAATTCTCCTCAAAGCGAAACCGAAGAGGCTTCTGGGAAATGTAGTCCACTGGCCTCGGCCGGCTACCCTGACTGGCCAGAGACCAGGCGCCCGCCTCGCCGCGAGGCGACAGAGCGCGTCGCGCCCATTGGCTCCTGCGGGTCCCAGCGCCGTATTGTTTTTTTTTTTTCTCAAGTGGTGACTGGAAGGAGAGAGGTTTTAGGTGGGAGGTGGCGATGATGCAAAAGTCACTCAAAACTTGGGACCAGAAAAGGACTTGCAGTTACAAAAGAAAAGTAGCTGCGAAAAGAGCTGCCGAGAAGTCGGCAAGAAGGAAGTACCTGGCCGCAGGACTTTTACCGACTTTTCAGATATTTGAAAGATGCTGGATAAAAATATGGAATTGATTTTCCCAACAGTGATTCTGTTCCTAGTTTTTGTTATCCTTTTCTCATTCCTAAAGAGGAAGAAGTCGCGCAGGCCCCCGTGCATCAAGGGCTGGATACCTTGGTTCGGTGCCGGCTATGAGTTTGGGAGAGCCCCTCTCGAGTTTATAGAGACTGCGAAAACCAAGGTATGTGGTTACGGCCGGCGGCATTGCTAGAGGAGATGGTGTCTCCTGGTACGTTCTTCTTTTGGCTCTCAGTTGCAGTGTGAGAACACGGGAAATGTTCTGGCTTCCCACAGTTGAAATCTGGAAATTAGTTCTTGTGTTAAGCCCCTGTCCCACGCAAGGCTGTGCGAAAGGAATGCGGTACAATACAGCTCTCACCTGCCTCTGTGGAAGAGCTTTTAAGGCTGGTACTTTATCTTAGTTATATTCCAGGAGTATCCCATATTAAATAAATGGTCGTAATGTTTGGCAAAGACAGTACAATTTAAGTTTGTGAGCATGAGTATCAAATTCATATCCAGTTGCAGTTGCCACCAGACTAGCTAGCTGCTTACTGTGCAAGCTGTTATCAAAGTTGATCTTTGCAAGTTTAGTCCACTCTGGTGGTGTTATTTGACGATGAGTTTTGATTTCACCACACACACAAGAGATTAATAATCCTTGTAGTTGTAGCAGATGTTTTTAATCCCGAGAGTATCTTTCAAATGTCAAAATACTTTCAGAAATAAACTATTGTTCAGCCTTTTTATTTTCAGTCAGTCACCAAGATTTTACAGTTTCACGGTCTAATTATTGGTGTGACACTAGTCACCATCGCTGTTATGAGTAAGAATACTTTCAGTAGTGACCCGTTCTGAACCATATGGGCTCTTAACTGTCTAGCCCAGCTTACAGAATCATTTTCTGTATAGCAGCATCTCATTCAAAATCTCTGACTGTAGTATAAGATTTGAAAAACTTCTTGGAAAACTGGATTTAAAAATTAATTTTTCTTCCTTACAAAGATGTTTGAAGCCCATTGTTTTCAGAATATGCCTTTTCATGAGCTTTCTGAATCTCCTTGAATGTATAAATGTTTTTAAATGAACCAAAATAAATTTATCTTTTAGTGACTTTTTCTGTGAACCTCTTGAAACATGCTCATGTAATAAAAAAGAATTGGAGAATTAGAATCAAAATTAAATTAGTTCAGAATGTCACACCAGCAATAAACACTATACAAATATAGTGCATATTATTTTGACACTTTTCTCTGTATTTACATATTATTTAGTAAGTAACAATGGGAGAACATTGTAATAATATTTTGTACTTTTGCACAAAAATTGCATTCTATACTTAATGTGAATAATCCTTTTATTTTGTTAAGTGTTTTTCTAAGTTATTTTTAGTAACTATTCCATCCTATACAGATAGGATAGCTTACTTAAATTTCAATAGTTGCATATACAGTTGTTATCCTATTTTTTCCTTGTTTAGACTGTTTTAATGAGCTTTCTTGTTTCCGTGTGTATGGGTATGTTCATGTGTGTTTGTGTTTGTCTGTGTGTATGTGGTATGTGGTACAGGCATGTGGTCCTACATTGTTATGAGCTGTGGCTTCAGTTGCTCCTGACCCTAGAGAAGCCCAACTGAAAAACTTGTGTTGCAGAACTGATACTTTGTGCCTCATAGTTGGGATAGAGGATTTTGCTTCTAAGTCAAATTAACTTGAGATTGGAAATTCTAGGAGAGTTATTTTAAAGTTGTGATACTGTGGCCCCAGGTTGGCCATCAGTAAATATCAATCATAGGTTATTCACTTGCTGACACATGGAATGATTTTCAAAATAAACTGAGTTGAGATTGAGTATTTTGGAAAATATCAACCAGGCAAACAGCAAACCCCTCCCCCACACAAGGTAAAGTTCTTGACATTAAAATTGCATTAAGAAACAACTTCTGTAATATATTTTCTTGAAAAGCTCCCACTGAAGCCCCAGTACTTGCCATCAATACTTGGCAGCCTTACCTGCATAATGAATCTTGAGTTAAAGTCAGCTTTCACAAGTATTGTTAAGGCCACATCAATTTTCTTTCAGCTGTGACTTACATAGTACACATTTTTCCATGCCTTACTCTCTTTTGTTCTGAGTCTTTGTGTTTTAAGTAAGTCTTCTTGAAAATGAAGAATGTTTAAAGAATATTTGTATCAGTAAGTACTTTTAGTCTTTTGAAGTTTTACTGCAAGAATCTCTCTTCTTGGCCAAATAGGAAAAGCAAAGTGTATCCAGATATCAAATGGCAGAAATCATGGAAATCCCAAACAGTAAAAAGAGTTTGAAAATCAATAAGTTGGTTTTTTTGATAAGTTCAGTAATGTTGACAGACCTCATGCAAGACTGACGAATAGACGGCAAAGACAAATGCATGATCAGTATTTGCAACAAAGCATAGGATGTTGCTGCAGACGCCGGGCAAGGGCAGAGGAGTACTGCGAATAACAGCACTCACATACATTTAACAACTCAGAAAATGAACCAACTCCTAGGAAAACACAACTTACTACAACTGTTTTAACATGAAATAGGTCATCTGTGTGGTTCTGTTTTATCAGGGACATGGGATTTATAATTGAAAATCTCTCTGGGATCTCTAGAACCCAATTGCTACACCAGAGAATGTCACCCAACGTTTAAAAAAGAGCTAGCATTCAGTCCTACACAGTCTCTTCTAGAAAGTAGCTGAGAAAGAAACATGTCTCAGCCTACTTTATGGAACTTTGTTATCTTGATTTTTCTTAAAAAAAAAAGTGAAAAAAGAATAAAGGTAGAGACAGACATTCCTCTGAGTACAGAAGAAAAATACCTAACAGAATATCAACAAGTGAAACTCAATGACATAGAAATAAGTTATTAAGTAAAACTTATTCCAGAGATACAAGTAATAAAATGCTTGAGTAAGAGCCAGGCAGTCAGTGTAAGCCACCGGCCGAAGAAATAACACATCAGTCAAGCATTTGACATTGTTAAACTCTTTTCGGATTAAAAAATAGTAACCTGCGAGAGCAGGAGTGGAAGACAATTTCCTAAATTTTATAAAAACATCCATAAAATGTTATAACTGAAATATTTACTTATGAAAGAATAGTTCTTTCCAACTTAGATTAGGAACACAATACACATATCTGTTGTCATCACTCATTCTAGTGCTAGAAGATTAGCTACGGAAATAAAGCAAAAATACATACACATAAACTGGAAAAAAATACATGAACCAGCCCTAATTTTCTTTTCTTTTATTTTTATTTTTATTATTAATTACATTGCATTAGGTGACACAGTGTTATGGGCACTGGGATTCCCCAACCCCTCCCTGAACCCTTTCCCCATGGTGGAGTTCTCTACCTTGCTGCGCGTTATCACAGTTCAAATTCAGTTGAGATTCTTTCATTGGAAGTATTTACTAAGTATAAAGTCCAGGGTCTTATTATCCTAGTGGGTTCAACGATTTCTTGGTGAGACCATCTCTGGTCTGAAGGTAAAGCCAGCAAAGTATCATCCCAATCAATTAAAAGCCCAGACATAACATCCACAACCATTTACAACGTTATGGCATTAATTGACATGGTATTGATTAACAGTATGTTAATAGGAAAATACTGGTTCTTTTCTTTTTTTAAAGATTTATTTTTTATTTTTATTGGAAAGGCAGATATACAGAGAGGAGAGACAGAGAGGAAGATCTTAAGTCCGATGATTCACTCTCCAAGTGAGCGCAACGGCTGATGCTATGCCGATCCAAAGCCAGGAGCCTCTTGCGGGGCCGCCGGGATTAGAACTGGCACCCATATGGGATCCCGGGCGTGCAAGGAGAGGACCTTAACCACTGCGCCACTGCGCCGGGCCCGAAAATACTGATTCTTAACTACATCCTGTGACTTCTTCATAGACATTTCAATTTTTGGTTTATATTCAACTGGATTCCATACACCTCAAAATGGCTATAGATTACTATTCAGCTGTCTTGTCTATTTTTATTTTTGTGTTTAGCTGTTTATAGTGTTGAAGCATGATTTTGCTGAACTTAGTTGTTTTTCGGATGGTCTGAACTGGAACAGCCCTAATTTTCATATGACATGATTGCCTACATAGACTATCCAAATCAATCTACAAAAAATTCTCTTGCAATGATGTGTGGATATAGTACTCTTTCAAGATACAGTCTCAACATACAATTGTATTAGTAATTATTAACAAGGAGTATGGAAAACAAAATATAATATAATTTTTAGTCAGTCTTTAAAGAAACAACTTTGAATCTAGCAAAACATGTATAGAAGATGCATGTTAAAGCTAAAGAACAGTAAAAATTATGAAAAAAAAAACATTAATAGGGAAATATATGGGGCTGGTGTGATGATTCCACTGGCAAATCATTCGCTTGCATGCACCAGGATCCCCTATGGGTACCAATATGTGACGTGGCTGCTCCACTTCCCATCCAACCAGTAATCTAAACAGAAACAACAAAAATGAATCTTCACCTACCAGCTTGTATAAAAATTAACTCAAAATACAGCACAAGCACAGACTTAAATGTAAAACATGAAGTTCTAATAGTTTTAGAAAAAAAATGTAAGAGAATCTTTTAAATCTTAGAATAAGAAATAGTTGCTCAGCTGAATATCAAAAGTAAACTACATAAAGATCAAAACTGATAAACCTTATCCAAGTTTAAAAAAAAACATTTGTTCTGTGTAGAGGGGGAACAAGTTATAGATGGATGTAAAATCTTTATAAGCAACATATTCAACAAAGGAATATTTGGAGCTTTTAACGCTCAACAAACAACTGGAGAAATGACATGCCTAGATAATCTCTAAAAAGATATGTAAGTGACAAGCCTACAAAAATGTATGGAGCATCATGGACCACTGGGGACAAATTGAAACTAGGATGAGATAATACTACACACTTATCAGAATGGCTAAAATCAAAATTAATACAAGATGAAATGCTGAGAAGACTGAGAATCTTTCTCACTTAAACATCTGGTAGGAATATAAAATATAAGCCTGCTAGAAAAATCCTGTCAGTTTCTCAAACAACAAAGCAGGTAACTAACAATATATCACCAGCAATGACAGTTCTGGCTGTTTTTCAAGGAGAAGGAAAATATATTCATATAAAAGCCTGGACAACGATGTTTAGAGAAGCTTTGTTTGCTAGGGAAGCAATCTAAAGAGAATAAAAATGTCCTTCAACATTGTTTTAACAAACTTTGGTACATTCATACTATATAATACTCAGAAAGATAAACATGAAGAAACAGTTGATACAGATACACAACAATGTGGGTGAAATACACTGAGAAAAGCCAGACCCAATGTTTGTCATATTCTGTGTGGTTCCATTTATGTAACAACTTTGAAATTGAAAAATCACCAAAGTGGGAAATAGATAAGTGGCTGCTAAAGGTTAATGAGGAGGTAGGAAGAGGATGGCTAAAAAGGACAACATGGAGGATTTTTGTGGTGGGATGGAAATACCTTGATTATGTCAGTATGAGTAGTGAAACTGTGCTAGTGTTTTGAAGGATGTTAAAACCTGCAGAAACAGGTATTGGGCAATGCTCAAAGAGTATTGGGCAATGCTCTTTTATACTTATTACAATTGCAATGGTAGTCTGCAGTTGTCTTAAAAGATTTTATTTTAAAGGATACATGACCAACACTTTGACAGCAAAATGTATGCGACTGCCTTTAATTCAAAACACAGGGACTACTGATCTCACACAAAAACAATAGAAGAAAATGAGAGCAGATTAGAAGAAAAACCTTGTAGAATATATTACTGTTCATGACCCTTTTCACAATGCAGTTGTCTTAAAATAAGTATTTAAACATCATCAATAATCTCTGTCATCCATTTTTTTTAAAGATTTATTTTTATTATTTTTTTATTGGAAAGGCAGATATACAGAGAGGAGAGACAGAGAGGAAGATCTTCCGTCCGATGATTCACTCCCCAAGTGAGCGCAACGGCCCATGCTATGCCAATCCGAAGCCAGGAGCCTCTTCCAGGTCTCCCACACGGGTGCAGGGTCCCAAAGCATTGGGCCGTCCTGGACTGCTCTCCCGGGCGTGCACAGGGCAGGGAGCTGGAAGGGAAGTGGGGCTGCCGGGATTAGAACCGGCGCCCATATGGGATCCCGGGTGTGCAAGGCAAGGACCTTAACCACTTGCGCCACAGCGCTGGGCCCCATCCATTTTTTTTTTTAACTTGGTTGATACACACTTGTGGTCCCAGGTTCTAGTACATGTTACACAATTTCATTTCCTACTGGGAAGTCAAGAATTCTCATCTGAACAAAACTGAAAAAAATGGAAACACAACTTCTTTTTTTTATTTTTTAAAAGACTTATTTATTTTTATTGGAAAGGTAGATATACAGAGAGAAGTAGATATAGAGAGAAAGATCTTTCATCTGCTAGTTCACTCCCCAAGTGGCCACAATGTTTGGAACTGAGCCGATCTGAAGCCAGGAGCCAGGAACTTCTTTTGGGTCTCCCATGGAAAACACAATTTCTATTTGTGGATTAACAAGTTGTCTATTAGGGAATAATTGCAAGCAATGTCAGATGTCTTAAACACTGATATAAGGAAGTAGGACTTTAATTTTTGGTGGTTTGATGATTTCCTGAACCCAGTGTAGCCCTCAATGCTATGTTGCCAGAGTGACCTTGTACCATCTCATGGCAGGGCATAGTCATGAGCATGATGATGTTTTGAGATATTTATAAAAACTTTAATGAATTATAAAAGTATGATGGTTCCTGTTGATGATGTCATGGGTAGCATTTGGTTTGTTGCCTTCATTGAAAATTAAAGCAAATACTGAATTACAGTTAGATGTCAATGAAAATGAAGATATATCCCATTATGATTATAGATTCTTTGAAGTTGAACTCCACACTACTATGTATCTCTAGACTACTGGGAGTGATCTTACAGTGAAGAGAAATTTAATGTAGAAGAGAAAATCCACAAGTGTAAAACAAAGAGAGAGCAGAAGAGCATCAGATCCATAACTCCAGTTTAGAGGTATTGGCAGCTTGCAGCAACAGGGACTTCCATACATTTTAACAGAAGGGAAAGCTTGGAAAACATGTAAGTAGGTATACTTTGCAAGATTACGGGGCCGGAAGAAGAAGCTGCTAATTTGCCTGCCTCCATTTCTTTGGTAATTTGTACGATAAGGACACTTCAGAGTGGAGAAGGCTGGCAATATATGCAGGTGGAAGAGTCATTTTGGAAGGTAAGAAACTAAACCATGGGACAGATGTTTAGGCATGCAAAATATTGAGTGATCAATGATTACCTATAAGACCAGCTGGCAATTTTGTACGTCATCATGTTGAGCTGTGTTTTGTTTACAGTTAAATATCACAAAGTTGATCTAATTTCTAATCCTATTTACAATTATTTTCTAATTATTTCATACTAAAAGCAAGAAAGATGCAAGTAAATTATATGTTAGACATATCTAAGAAAATTAGAATTTATGTAATTTAGACTTAGCTGAAACAGTCAAAGTTTTATAGTTATCATATGCAGTTGTAATAATAAAGATTTGTTTAATTTATTTTAATAGCAGAATGATAAAGAGGGAAGGAGAGAGGGGGGTGGCTAGGAAAAAAGGATCTTCTGTTCACTCCCCAGATGGCTGTAACAGCAGGGTCTGGGCCAAGCCAAAGCCAAGAGTCAGGAACTCTGTCAGGTCTCCCACATGGATCATCTTTTATTACTTGGGTAGGGAGCAGGATCAGGAATGGAACAGCTAGTACTTAAACCAGTACTGTTCTGATATGAGAGATGGACATAGTAAATGACATCTTCACCCACTGAGCCACAATGTTAACCCCCCTGGTCATAATGATATTATCTTGACTATAATTTCTTGACTATAATTTGGCATGATTGGGAAACACATAACTGCCAACTGGGATTTAGAAATGTTTACTGATACAATCTGTACTTTTGTGTTTAATTTCAGTATGGACCTGTATTTACAGTCTTTGCTCTGGGAAATCGAATGACCTTTGTTACTGAAGAAGAGGGAATTGAGGTGTTTCTTAAATCCAAAAAAGTAGATTTTGGACTAGCAGTACAAAGTCCCGTCTGTCGTACAGGTAAGGAATCTTTTCCAGTAGTTCATTTGCAATACTATCAGGTGAAAATGACACCTTAACTACGTTTCCCAGAGGGGCAGTAAGGGATGCAGGGCTAGACTTCTAGACTGTATATTGGGACGCTTGCTTCCAGCATGGCTGGCTATTTTCATTTCTTCCTGGGCTGCAGATGCATGTACTGAGTCCGTGTAAGCTCATAACAACACAGAGCTGGTTCATCTTGTGGCTGGTTCTTTTCTCTGGTTCTCTCTGGTTCTTTTTCTCTGGTTCTCTTTGTACTTGTTTCTACTGTCTAAAGCTTCTTTCTCTGTGCTCCTTATTCTTTTCTGTCTTCCTAGGTTTATTTTCATGTAACTTCATGTATTTCTTGATGTCAAGACAATAAAGTTTGACTTAAAAGCTATCAGGGATTGATATCATAGCTATTTTTTCATTCTTGGCTTGCAAAAAAAGGCACAATCTGTTTTTTAAATAATGAAACTATCAAATTCCAGGTTAATAATTACTAGTATTTTGAAACTTTTTGGTTTGTGTGGTCAAATGTTCCCTCAGAAAAAAAAAAATATGACCCAGCTTAACTACTAGAGTGATGTCAAAACTATTTAATTTCATAACCCATTTGTTGCTTGGAAAAATTGATGAAGGACAGGCAGCGACACTTAACTCATACAGATCTTGCATCAGGTGATTTATTCCCCAAATGGCCACAGCAACCAAATCTGGCCACACTGATGTCAAATAGAAGGAACTCCTTCCTGGTCTCTCACATGGGTGTTTGGGGCCCAGATATTTGGGCTATTTGTTGCTGCCTTCCCATGTGCATTAAACAGATTGCTGGATCAGAAGCAGAGCAGCTGGGACTTGAATTTGTACTCTGAAATGGCATTTGGGGCATTAAGGAGTTGCTTAATCCATTGGGCCACAGTGCCAAATTCTCTTGGAAACTTTCATGTTTAAATATTTTTTTAAAGATTTATTTACTTTTATTATAAAATCAGATATCCAGAGAGGAGGAGAGATAGAGAGGAAGATCTTCCGTCCATTGATTCACTCCCCAAGTGACCGCAAAGGCTGGTGCTGTGCTGATCCAGAGCCAGGATCCAGGAACCTCCTCCAGGTTACCCACACATGTGCAGTGTCCCAAAGCATTGGGTCATCCTTGACTGCTTTCCCAGGCCACAAGCAGGGAACTGGATGGGAAGTGAAATTGCCGGAATTAGAAGTAGTGCCCATATGGGATCCTGGCGCATACAAGGCGAGGATTTTAGCCGTTAGACCACACCGCTGGGCCCCTAAATCTTTTTTTAATAGATGAAAATGTTTTCAGTTCCCCTTGAATCAATTTTCTATTACTTCCATATGTCCCCACTATAGAGAAAATATGTATGATTAGAAAATCTAATGCACCTAGTTACGTAAAGCAATTACTTACAGACTTAAAGGAAGACATAGACACCCGCACAATTCTTGTAGGCGATCTCAACACACCTCTAACAACAATGGACCGGTCCACGAAACAAAAACTCAACAAATAAACAACAGAGCTCACACAAACAATAGAACAACTAGACTTAGTAGACATATATAGAACTTTTTATCCTAAGGCCACAGACTATACATTCTTCTCAGCGGTGCATGGCACCTTCTCCAGAATCGATCACATGATAGGACATAAAGCGAATCTAAACAACTTCCAAAACATTAGTATCATACCATGTACCCTCTCAGACCACCATGGGATGAAACTGGAAATCAACAACTCAAAACTCCCCAGGAAGTATAGGCACTCTTGGAAATTGAACAATATGCTATTAAACGAACAATGGGTCAGAGAAGAAATTAAAGATGAGATCAAAAAATTCATGGAAACCAACGAAAACTCTGATACAACATTCCAAAACTTGTGGGACACCGCCAAAGCAGTGCTACGAGGTAGATTCATTGCAATCGGAGCGCATGTCAAGGCCCAAGAAAGACGCCAAATACAGGAACTAACCACACACCTCCAGGATCTGGAAAAACAGCAGCAGAAGAGTCCCACGCACAATAGGAAACAAGAAATCATCAAAACAAGGGAGGAGATAAACCAAATAGAAATCAAAAAAACTATACATAAAATCAACAAATCAAAAAGTTGGTTTTTTGAGAAAATAAACAAAATAGACACTCCACTGGCCCGATTGACCAAAAAAAAACAAGAGAAAGTGAGAATCAATAGCATTAAAGATGAAAAAGGCACCATAACAACAGACACTGCAATCATTAAGAAAATAATTAGAAATTACTACAAAGAACTGTACTCCCACAAATTTGAGGACCACCAAGAAATAGAAAAGTTCCTGGACTCCCACCACTTACCAAAACTCAGTCCGGAGGCAACTGCAGAATTAAATAAACCCATAACCGAGGTAGAGATTGAAACAGTCATCAAGGATCTCCCAACGAAAAAAAGCCCAGGCCCAGACGGCTTCACTACAGAATTCTACAAAACATTCCGAACAGAACTAACCCCAATCCTCTACAAGCTCTTCAAAACAATAGAGGAGGAAGCAACCCTCCCAAACTCATTCTATGAAGCCAACATCACCTTAATCCCAAAACCGGACAGAGAACCATCAGAGAAGGAAAACTACAGACATATCTCTCTGATGAACATTGATGCTAAAATTCTCAACAAAATCCTAGCCAATAGAATTCAAAAAATCATCAGACAGATCATTCATCCGGATCAAGTAGGATTCATCCCTGGAATGCAGGGATGGTTCAACATTCGGAAATCCATGTTATAAACCATATCCAAAAACTGCAAAACAAGAACCACATAATAGTTTCAATAGATGCAGAAAAAGCTTTTGACAAAATCCAACACCTCTTCATGCTAAAAACTCTAGCCAAAGTAGGCATAGATGGGAAAATCCACAACATAATTAAAGCAATTTATGAAAAACCCAACGCCAGTATCATACTGAATGGAGAAAAGCTAGAACCCTTCCCACTGAGATCTGGAACAAGACAAGGGTGCCTGCTATCACCACTGCTATTCAACATAGTCCTAGAGGTACTTGCAGAGGCCATAAGACAAGAAAAAGAAATCAAAGGCATACGTATAGGAAACGAAGAAGTCAAGCTTTCACTATATGCAGATGACATAATCCTGTACATAGAAAAACCAGGAGACTCAATACAGAAACTGCTAGAACTTATACGAGAGTTTGGCAGAGTGGCGGGGTACAAAATTAACGAACGAAAATCAACAGCCATAGTGTACGCAAATAACACCAAGATGGAAGAAGATCTAACCAACAGGATACCATTCAAAATAGCAGAGAGAAGTATGAAGTATTTGGGAATAAATCTAACCAAAAGCGTAGGAGACCTATTCGAAGAAAACTACAAACTATTTAAAAAGGAAATTGAACAAGACCTCAAAAGATGGAATAACATCCCGTGCTCCTGGATAGGCAAAATCAATATCATTAAAATGTCTATACTACCACAAGCAATATACATTTTCAACGCAATTCCAGTCAAATTGCCCAAAACATTCTTCACGGAACTGGATACAATGATTCAAAAGTTCATCTGGAAACACAAAAAACCACGAATAGCTAGAACCCATCCTGAAAAATAAGAGATTAGCAGGGGGAATCACAATCCCGGACCTCTGGACATACTATCGAGCAGTGGTTATCAAAACAGCCTGGTACTGGCACAAAGACAGAAAAGAAGATCAATGGAATAGAATAGAAGCACCAAAAGGGAACCCACACAAATACAGCCAATTAATCTTTGACAAAAAGACCAATGATAGCTCAAGCAAGTGGGAAGGCCTCTTTAGTAAATGTTGTTGGGACAACTGGCTGATAGCCTGTAGAAACAAAAGGATAGACCCACATCTATCACCATACACTAAGATCCAATCTACATGGATAAAAGACCTAAACCTACATCCAGAAACCTTCAAACTCTTGCAAGAAAATGTAGGAAATACACTGCAAGACCTAGGAGTAGGTTCCGACTTTCTAAGAAGGACACCAAAAGCAATAGCAGTTGAGAACAGAATAAACAAATGGGACCTCATCAAACTAAGAAGCTTCTGTACAGCAAGGGAAACAATCAACAAAGTAAAAAAGCAACCCACAGAGTGGGAGAAGATCTTTGCACACGATATAGGCGATAGGGGGCTAATTTCCAGGATATACAAAGAACTTCAAAACAACCAAAAAACCAAAACAAACAAGCCACTCAAGAAATGGGCAAGGGAAATGGGCAAACATTTCACAAAGGAGCAAGTCCAAATGGCAAACAAACATATGAAAAAATGTTCCAGCTCCCTAGCAATAAGGGAAATCCAAATTAAAACATCGATGAGGTACCACCTAACACCAGTAAGATTGGCCCACATAAACAAGAACACCAACGACGCTTGCTGGCGAGGATGCGGGGAAAAGGGAACCCTACTCCACTGCTGGTGGAGCTGCAAATTGGTACAGCTTTTATGGAAATCAGTCTGGAGAACACTCAAACAACTCGGAATCTGCATGCCATATGACCCAGCAATAGCACTCCTAGGAATATATCCAAAACACCTGTTTTACGACAAACCAACATGCATCCCCATGTTCATTGCAGCACAATCAGTAATTGCAAAAACATGGAAGCAACCGAAATGCCCATCAATAGAAGATTGGATAAGAAAGCTTTGGTTCATCTACTCCATGGAATACTACTCAGCTGTTAAAAAAAACAAAATGCAGTTCTTTGTGGCTAAATGGGCACAACTGGAAACTATAATGCTAAGGGAAATGAGTGAATCCCAAAAGATTAGATACCACATGTTCGCCTTGATTTAACCTGTAATTTATTGTTTGGTTGTTTGTTATTTTTTGAACGTGTCATTGATGCTGTCTCAACCCAGATGTTTCGAAGAATGGAACTTGCATTATTTTTAACATATTGTTTACCCAATACTATGTCAATTAATTCCATAATGTTGTATATTGATACTGAGGCCTTGTTGGGGCTTTTAACCGACCGGATCTTTACTCTGTTAGACCTATCTTCAGACCATAGAAGGTCTCCCCAGGAGGCCACTGAACTTATCTGGACAATAAGACGCTGAACTTTATGCTAGGCATGTGTTTGCAAGCAATGAATCTCAACTGAACTTGAACTATGGTTATGCAGCAAGGTGGAGGAATCCACCATGGGGGGAGGGGTATGGGGAAGGGTGGGGGGAATCCCCAGCACCTATAAAACTGTACTACACAATACAGTGTAAGCAACAATAAAAAAAAAAAAAAAAAAAAAAAAAAAAAAAAAGAAAATCTAAAATTTAGTTATTATTAGCCTACACAAATTGTAAACAATATGCAGCAGGAGTAATGAAATAGAAACTTTAAAAGGTTTTTGTAAAAGTTACTTCAAAGACAACAAAGGAAAGTAAAAGAAAAACATAAAATGAGTTAGAAAAATAACTCACTCATATTTCCATGACCCCAAGCTAACCATGAGCGTGTGTCATGAAAGAAGCATGCATATTATTAATATGTATCAAGGAAATAGTTGTGGTTGAATTATTCATGAGCTTTCAAAACACCTGGTGGGAGTAGCATTCAAGAATAATTTTGAAAGATAAATAAAAATTAGCAGGAGAAATTTGGGATGTATCAATATTCTTGTGTCAAAGTAGTAGAGAATTTCTTGGGAGACAAAATAGCTTTTGAGAGTGCAACAGTAGATAAAATAGCATTGGTTTTCAGTTTATTGGCAATATACATTTGGAGAAGGAAGGTGCTGGAAATATCAGCCCTCTAAATGATCTGCTTATAGATCATCCATTAAGGCGAATTATCCAACTGATTTTCACTGTGTTAAGGTGTGGATTGAGTCTTTATCAATTTCTGTCCACAGGAGGTGATTTTATATAGTTGGAAGACTCTGGCTGTTGCCCTTCCTAACCAGCTAGTGGTGTAAGTTTATTGACTATATGCTTCAAGCAGTTATTATGTATTTTGAAAATAGTTTTCCTCTGTTTATAGCATCGATTCCAGGAAATATCTTTTTAGCACTGCATGAAAAACTCCATATTATGCTGAAAGGAAGATTGGGGACTTTGAATGTACATGAGTTTACTGTACAACTAACTGAAGAATTACATGAACAACTGGAGAATTTGGGCACTCATGGGACAATGGACCTCAACAAATTAGTAAGGTAAATAAATAAATAGATGCATTAGTATCTGTTAGTCTTGGTAATTTTAGAGTAAGTTTTTTTGAATCCTTTCTATTAGACCTCAAAGTTATCGTACTTATTAGTAAAGTCTACTTAACTGGACTATTAGGAAAAAATTTTAAATCCCTTACAATCTAATTAACAGGCAGTTTTCAGGTGACCACTCCTATGAGAAAATAAGTTAATGTGGTTATTTCAAAATGTTTATAGTAATTTCTTTTTAGTTATTTCATGTATTTGTGCATGCTTTAAATGGATTTACCATGTCTAATTGTCATGCATCCATCACAGTTTTGATAAACCAGTGCAATTTGTGATCATTAGGAAAAACTATTGAGAGGACAGGGAAAGAATGGAATTATTGAGTGGGTGACAGGATGCAAGAAATCTTTGTGAGACTTTGAAAGGTGGCCAAGGCAAAAACAAATGCTGGCCCTAGAACTAAGCGACAAGCAACTCTTAGATCATTGATCCGAAAAGAAAAGGTTAAGGTTGTGGAGGAAGTCACTTATGTTCTGGAGTTTTCTGTAAGAATTAAGGACTGAGCATGAGAGAAATTCCCCAACCGCATAAAGAGATTTGGTAAATTAAAATTACCTTGGACACTGTTCTATTTTATTGGAATCCTCAACTGCAAAGGGCAACGATCAGTGGTTCCTTTAAAAAAAAACAAACACTGTTTCAACTTAATGGGACAAAATGATATTCAGAACTTTTGTTAGAGGTCCAGAAAGAGTCGGTTGTAGGATGCAATAAATAAATAAATAAATAGATAGATAGATAAATAAATAAATAAATGAAGAAACTCTCCAAATTTTGCCAAAGCATGTTTAAAATTGCAAAGGAAAGCAAATCTTTGTATATTTTTGGGACACTAGGGAAGGACATCTGGAAGAAAGGGTGAATAGAAAGTAGATAAATGGTAGGTATTTAGTGATATAATCTACAGCATGCTAGTAATCTTTGAAGTTCATATTGACTGCTGAGAAATACTGTATTTCCTTGTGTGATAATCTGAATTTATAGGATGCTATGAGAAATTAGGAAATTTGGTGGCTGACTTTACCGTTAATATCTTGTGATACTTTTATCTGGTATCCTAAGGTAAGGACTGTTATTTTAGTTACTGTTATGAATTAATAGTACATGGTTATTGAATGGTATTCAATAAAATTAGTTCTGTTTGAAAAAATACTTGCTTAGAAAGAATGTTTAAGTCATCAGATAAGTAAGGGCACAATATCAGCTATTCCTGAATTTTGAAACTCCTCAAGAGTGGCTCTTTGAAATCTGCCACCTATTGTTGTGCTTGTTAAAGGTGTGTTGCTACTGAAGAATTCCTTCTTTTGCATTCTATCCCTGTTCTTTGACCTTGGGTCTGACTTTCTGTGTGTTTCTGTCTCGGTAGGCAGCTTCTTTATCCAGTCACAGTGAACGTGCTCTTTAATAAAGGTTTGTTTTTCACAAGCAAGAGGAAGAGCAAGGAGTTCTGTCAGCAGTTTGAAGTGTTTGATCAAGGCTTTGAATATGGGTCTCAGATGCCAGAATGCCTCCTAAGGTAGGGAGTTGTGACGCGTCATGAATGCGTTGACTGGGCTGCTTTCAGCAGTTTGTACACTGCTCACGTATCCCTGATCGAAACAGATACAGAGGTAGTTTCTAAGACTGAGAAACTGCTTCTTATGCCTGGTTTGTTTGTGCTGTGCATGTGAATTGAGGGGGAAACAAAAGGAAAGAGAAGCACCTTTCTTTGGTTCATTTTGATGAATGAAGACAGAAAAGTGAAAAGTGAAGGGAAAACAAATAGTCTTTTTGAGTCCTTTAGTCCCATTTATTAGTTATTATCAGCACATTCATTGGCTGCATTTGAGTCTATGCTAAGTTATCATGTGTGACTTATCTCCTTCAAAGCAAACATTGCCCTCATTATCTGAGGTAAAAGTTGCTGTGGTCAAAATGTATTTCTCACAGTTGGCTTGGACAGATGTTTGTAAAATGACTCACATGTCAAGTAACTGCATTTTTTAGACTTCTTGATAGTTCCTCTGTGTCTTACTACTTTTGGGTTGCTATAACAAAATTGTACAGACTAAGGGAGCTTGTGAAGAATAAACATTTATTTCTTACAGCTCTTGAAGTGTGGAAGTCCCTGATCAGGGTGCCAGCATGGCTGGGTTCAGGAGCTGCTCTCTTCCTGGTTACCTGCAGCCAACGGCACGGGCCAGTTCCTTCAAGCCTTTGGGAAAGCCCACTCACCTGGCTTATGAGGTCTCCATTCTTTTGGCCTAGTCATCTCGTTAGGGGCTGCTACCCCCTAATATTATTACTTCAAGGATTAGGGTTTGAGCATACAGATTTGGGGATCCTAAGCTTTCAGGTCACAGCAGCATACATGGAAGCTAGTCAGAAAAAGATTTACTGAATCCAAGCCAATATGCTTTACCTGATTTAACCCAGTGATTAGGATTGGGCTTTCATTATTTCACAGCTCATAACAGTCACAGCAAGATAATACTAAAACTTCCAACCCTGTTTTCTCACTTAATGGCAATTGACTAGAGACCTAAGCATTGATTTGCAAAAGCCACGTAAGTATTATTCCTTGTACCCACAGCTGTTCTTGAGAACCAAGAATTTTGAAGAGGGTGCTTGTGAAATTCTTCATGCAAATGAAAAAGCAGATATGTGTTTACAAACTTTGAATCCACAGATATTCCCCCTTGAAATGCCTGACATTCAATTAAATCAATTTCTGCGTGTAAATATTTTTCCTTTATGCAGAAACTGGTCAAAGTCCAAAAAGTGGTTCCTAACACTGTTAGAGAAAAGTATTCCTGATATAAAAGCATACAGATCTGAGAAAGATAATTCTTTGGTAAGTATTTCTTAACTTCTTTACTGAAATATATGAGATAAAGTTAATAGTAAATTATGATTGTTAAAGTGTGCGTGGAAATATGCTGCTTGGGATGCCTGCATTCCAGATGGGAGTGTCTGGTTCCAGTCCTGGCTCCACTCCCAGTTTTCTGGGAATAGGTACCTGGGGAAACAGCAGGTGGTGATTCAGCAGTTGGTACATGCCTTCTTGGTAGAGACCCAGACTGCATTACAGGGCCTTGACTTCAAAACTGGCTTGGTGGGTTTTCAGGAAGTGAATTACGAAATAGAAGGTATTGTATTTCTCAACCTTTCAAATATATATTTGCTAAAAACTTAGTTTTTTATGTAATAAATTCATTTTACTTTTGTTGATGTTTACATAGTTGAGAGGGATACATGCCCCTGTGGACAACTGATAATGGTGGGGAGGTTTGAGGAGTGGGGGAAAATAAATGGATGAGACAGCTGCCTTCAATTTCCTTTTTCCTTTTGGTATCTGGGGAAAGTGGAGACAGAAGGGGAGAGAACTACTCCCAGCAGCCTAATCACATACCTAGGAATGGGGGAAGGCCACCTGATATCATCTTAGGGTACCCAATGTGGAGTGGGTTCCGAGGACACTGATTAAATGCTTGGAAGTTATGACGTGCGCTTGATTTTGTCGTTCCAAGGTTCAGGAAATCCTCCCAAGGTTCATTGGCTGACACAGTCCACTTTAGAGTCTCTATTTGCAAGATATTCACTGTCAAGACTTGTGTGGGAAAGAGTTGTCCCATTTTTTTCTTCCATCTTCTGCCACTGTACTAGATATCCTCTGCAGGCCTCAATGAACTGGTTGTTGTGTCCCCATGAGCATCTGAGCATGTGGTCCACCACACAGGCCTCAACAACCGAGCAGTCCCAGTTCTGACACATGCACTCCACGGTGGGACCACATATCCTGTGATTTTCACTGTGGTTGGAGTTCTGAGTGTGGTGATCCAATTGGGGTGGTTCCCCAAAAAACCTCCCCAGAGGTGACCCCAGACCTTATTTCTGTGTGAACCAATCAGTGCGGAATCCAGCTCAGGCTATCACCCACGTCAGCCTACACACACATAAGTGGCTGTAGTCACCTGATCAGTTTTATCTCTAGCCCCACTTCACATGCAAAATAACAGATGCTGCAGCCTAGCTTAACTGCCCACCACGTACCCACCCTCATGTATACCAGTGGGAGCTGCAGCTTAATCAGAGTGAACCCCAACAGCCCCAACTAGGCCCACCCAAGCCCTTGGTAACTGTACATGCCAGTATATGCAGCAGACTTGTCCAGTCTGTCACACACACATTCCATTCAGCACTCATATGCATCAGTGAGTGTTGGAGCCTAGCTCAACCGAACTGACTCCACCTTCCAGCCCACACTCATCATGCCAGTGGTGCCAGCACCTGACTAGCCAGACACAACTAGCCCTGGTTCTCATGTTCACTGGAGGGAGTTGTAACCCAGTCAGACAGATGCCCACAATTTCCCTACTAGACGCATTCCCAGCCCCAAATCTTGCACTTTCTAGGTGGTTCTACTATCTAGGCTGATAGGAATTGCCCCTAGTCCCAACACTTGCCAGCTAGCCAATGCTTCAGCAAACCCAAACAGCCTGTACTTAGTCTGGCTCATGTATGTACCAGTAGATATATTCGCCTAGCCCGGCCTGCTTTCCCCTAACCCATCTCACATGCAGATCAGTGGGCTTTGTATTCCTGCCCAGTCTGGTCTGCCCAAAGCTCCCCTGCTGAATCACCCCCCCCGAGCCTGGATTTTATGTGTGCTAGTGGATGCTGCTGTACAGACTGGCATGAGTCAGTTCAGAACTTACCAGTGGGTGCTGCAGCCTAGCTTAGCCCAGTCTTCCCTAAGTCCCAACTAGGCTGGTGGGGACTACAGCCTAGGCCAGCCCAGTCAGCTCCCAGCCCTGACCGTAATGGGAACTGCCTGGCATTGTGGCCTAACCCAGCCCACTTTGTAACCCATCCTGGTTTTCACATCTGCCAGTGGATGCTTCGGCCTGGCCTACTCCCAGAACTGACCCATACATATGCATCTGGGACTGTAACCTGGCTTTCTTTGGGCTGCTCTCAGTCTTGGTTCTTATGCTCATTTGCAGGGACTGTGTCCTGATTCAGGAGTTCCCCCAGCTTCTCTGTCCATCACCTCCCAGTGGCAATCTTGCACACATTAGTGGATCCTTGGCCCAGCCTGACTTAGCTTTCCTCCTGTTTTGACAGGAACAGCTGCCTTGCCCTACCAGGTCACACCTTTTCTGGATCTTACTGTTGGGTGCTATAGCCCAGCCATGCCTAGTCCACCACCAGGACCCAGCTTTCCCATAGGATACAGAGACCTTACCATCCTGTCCTGTACCCACTCTGGCTCTTGTGAGCACCAATGGGTTCTGAAGCCTAGCTCAGTTAGGCACACCCCAGACCCAGTACACCACCATGCTGAGGGACACTGCAGTCATGTCTAGCCCAGTTCACCACCCCCATTCCACCTGTCAGGCTCACTATTGGGAACCACAGTCCGAAAGTGGTGTCTCTAGCTCCCTGACCAAGCTCACTCCAAGCCACATATCTAATACATACCAGTGGTTGCTCTGATCCAGTCCAATTTAACCCATCATATCTTGGCCTTTGCCATCAGATACTGAATCCTGGACTGGCATAGCCTGCCCCAATCCCAACTCTTGCTGCTGGGTGCTGCAGCCTAGCTCTGCCCAGCCTGCCACCGTCCCTAGCTTTTATGCAGACTCGTAGGTGTGATAACCTATCATAGCTTAGCATGACCCACACCCATCCCTGGCTCCCTCACATACCAGTGTGTGTGATGTGGTTTGTCCTGGCCCTGTCTGGTCCACCCCCTACATAACCAAGCCACAAACCTGCTGACAAGTGAATCAGCCCTGCCTGACCTGACCAACATCCAGCCCTCAATCATGTGCTCACCAGTGGGAACAATGGGAGTTCCCCAAGTTCCCTACTAGGCCCACTCCCAGACCTGATCGCATATGTGACAGTGGGTACTAGGTCTTTACCAGGCCCCCTAGTGTCAGCCTTTGTGTGCTCTGCTGGATGTTGTGGCTCAGCCTGCCCCACACCCTATTCTTGGGTGCGCCTGTGGGTACTACAACCTGGACCAGCCCAGCCTGTTCCCAACCCTAGTACCCATGGGCATTGTTGAGTTCCATTCTCAAGCCTATATTAGTCCGTCACCCTCAACCCTCGAGCAAACCAGCTGGAATGGCAGTCCCACAGGGTTGAGCCCATAATCCCCACAAATCTGTTCCCAAACCCAGTTCTCCTATAAGCTGGTTTAATGTCAAGGCCCAGCCTCACAGGATCCACTCCTGCCCCAACACTCACTGGTAAGCACTGTTGTTGAGTCTTTCCAGACAGGCTTCCCACTCATGGTTTTTGTGTTTATCCATAAGCAGTGATTGATTCCAACAGGCCCAGCTCAGATCTTCCACATGAGTGGATGTATTGGTTTGGCCTCAGAGGATCCTACAATTTCCTTCCTGTAAACCAGCCAGTCTCAGCCCCCTTGTTTGCTTGCTTTGCGTGCTGTAGCCAGGTTAGTAGAAGTCCCCTCAGAAGTCACTGCTCACCTGTAATATTTTCTCTCAGGAATCCTCCCTGCCACACATCTCGAGATCTGCTTCACTAAACAATCCACAGCCCCCCAAGGCAGGTCCTCTCGTGGTGTGCTATGCCAGCCTGGGGCCTCGTCTGCCTACCCAGGGCCCACACACACTTGTGCACAGGTCCCTAGACCCTGTCTGTTGGCATGCTGGTGTCTGTTCCCCACATATCACCAAAAAAAAAAAAAAAAAAAAGGTAGAATAGGTGACTTTCCTGGCACATTGGTATAGTTAACATGAATTTGGCATTAACCAGGCCCAGGATGCCTGCCAGCTATTAGCTGCTTTTCTCAACCTAAGTTATTGCCTCTAGCAGGGAAAAAACTGAGTTTAATTAGATAATCTTTTGGGCCACTCACTGTACTAGAAATGTTGACGTATATTGTAACTTCATGATACTGAGAAAGCTATGAGTCCTGTTTAAGAAAGATGTTGAAGCTACAGATAACAATATTAAGATTCTTTATTTATATATTCTACAATTGGCTGTGTTAAAGGAAAAAAAAACATACTACCAATTTCAGGCTTGAATTTGAAATTCTAGATTTCACTCCATAAAATAAGTGTTCTGGATGTACTGGGTAGAAAAGGTTGGTTTTATAGACAGACTGAGAAAAGTAAAAGCGAAGAATAAAAAATGACTGGTTATTTCAAGGTCAGTTGCCCCGTAAAGCAGAGACATGGAGAAAGGCATAGAAAAATACTTGATTTCGCTTGAGCCCGAGCGGAAGTGGTGGCCGGAGCGGAAGTGGAGCTGCCGCCACCGCCTCCGCCGCCGCCGCCGCCGCCGACTCCGGAGCCCGGGGAGCCGCCGCCTCTGCAGTGCCTGCAGCCGCCCTTGCTGCTGCTATTGCTGCTGCTGCCGCCGCCTGAGACGCAGGCCTGGGAAGGAAGCAGTCGCCGCTCGCGGAGCTCCGCTCGGAAGCATCTTAGCCCCCGGGAATTACCATGGATAAAAGTGAGCTGGTACAGAAAGCCAAACTGGCCGAGCAGGCCGAGCGCTATGATGATATGGCTGCAGCTATGAAGGCGGTTACAGAACAAGGGCATGAGCTGTCCAATGAAGAGAGAAATCTGCTCTCTGTTGCCTACAAGAACGTGGTAGGCGCCCGCCGTTCTTCCTGGCGAGTCATTTCCAGCATTGAACAGAAGACTGAGAGGAACGAGAAGAAGCAGCAGATGGGCAAAGAGTACCGTGAAAAGATCGAGGCGGAGCTGCAGGACATCTGCAATGATGTTCTGGAACTGTTGGATAAATACCTTATTCTCAATGCTACACAACCAGAAAGTAAAGTGTTCTACTTGAAAATGAAAGGAGATTATTTTAGATATCTTTCTGAGGTGGCATCTGGAGATAATAAGCAAACCACCGTGTCGAACTCCCAGCAGGCTTACCAGGAGGCATTTGAAATTAGTAAGAAGGAAATGCAGCCCACACACCCAATTCGACTTGGGCTGGCGCTCAACTTCTCAGTCTTTTATTATGAGATCCTCAACTCTCCTGAAAAGGCTTGCAGCTTGGCAAAAACGGCATTTGATGAAGCCATTGCCGAGCTGGATACACTGAATGAAGAGTCATACAAAGACAGCACCCTGATCATGCAGCTGCTCAGGGACAATCTCACTCTGTGGACGTCGGAAAATCAGGGAGATGAAGGAGATGCTGGGGAGGGAGAGAACTAGTGTGTGTCGTGCTGTGTGATCTGCTCAGTGTCACTCTACCCCCCACATACATCCCCTTGTGCGATCAAAGAAGAAATCGTACGTCGACTTCGATTTTCACAGCCTCAGCCTAGCGAAAATGGTCTATGGGATAAACAACTGATATTTGTATCTTAAAATCCAGATCGGTCACATAAATGCCACGGCATTCTGAAGTTTTGATTTTGATTAACATTGACAGGATTACTGTGTGTTTAATTTTTAAAAACTGAACACTGTGATTATGGGGCTTTGTAATTTAGCAGAACTCTTACTGGTAGAAAAAAAAATAGACCTGAATTATGCATAACTTTTTGGAGAGTTGAATCTGATACAAAATGATCACAAACACAATTCCATTGTAAAGTTGTACAGAAAGTTGTAGAAATTTATTGTGATGCCAGAACCTGGCTGGAGACACCCACCATTTGGCATTCAAATTTGATGGTAATTCACAGTAATTCTGCCTGTTCAGGGTTTATAGACACTTGACTGGTTTGGTCTCAAAAGTTCATGACCACAAATATCTACAGTGTCATCCTCTGAGGAAACTCAAAGCCTGGAATTGGAATTCTTTGTGGCAAATAACTGGGTTGTGACATTGCAGAGGGTCCAGTACTCCTATGACTAAACCCATTTTTCTACAGCAATATGTTACCAATTTGTCATTTAGAAAAATGGTGGAATCTGTTTTCCTTGTAACCACTTAGCTAAATAAGAAGAAAAAAAAAAAAGCCGTGTATCCTATGGATGGCCTTACCTGTTCCCTGGATGATACGATTAGGAATACTGTTCTGTAGAGATTGCCTTTCCCTGGAAGAGGCCTCAGTCCGTGGGGTCTTCCCAGTTGGGGGCTCACTTAAATGTTGAAATCGAAACACTCTTCCCCTACCTCTCTTGACTGCTGACCTTGCTATTCTCCCTCTTTAACTTCCGTCCTTCTGCTTCCTTTTACATTCTTTCTGAGTTCTATTTTTTTTTTTCATTTTTGTTCACTTCTTAATACCAAATGAGCAGAGGGTGAGAGGTGATGGTGAGCCAAACCTTGCTCCGAGGAGCTTCCGGCACCACAGCCCTGTCTTCCTCCATTCCCAGCATGACTCCATTTCTCAGTCATATCAAGCTATGAATCCACAAAGTATTTTTCAGTGTCCATGACTTCTCCCCAAATTGCAGCCAGCTCTGATAACGCTTCGTAGTTCCTGTCTGCACCTCTGACTCGGTCCTCAGACAGGTTTGAACAAAGACCCACTTGGTAGTACAGGGAAGTTGCATGGACGCTGCATTGGGGAGGCCAGAGGAGCCAGGCTCTGCAGTCTCACAGCACCCCCCATCCACCTATGACATTCCACATAGCTCTAGGTCCTTCTGTTTGTCCATCTGCTGGAATCAGAAAAGAAACTCATGCACTGATTAAAACAAACCAAAAAAAAAAAAAAATTCTCTCCTTTCCAGCTGAACAAAAATGTGCAGTTAATACTTTGGCGCTTGAAAATGCAGTAGTGAATGTGGAACCAAGCCTGTCTGTATATCTGGTAGCTCTTTCTTGCTTTGATTTTTTTTTTCCTTACCAGTATTCTGCCTAATGTTTGCTTCTGTGATGGTTATATTGCCTAGCAAGCACACCTGTGGTTGTGAAAATAGTATAGCAAAAAGAAAAAAGAAAACTCCCCAATTATTGATGTACTAGATTTGTGTTTGTCTCTTAAACAGTTCTAGTTTCACCTCACATGGAATAATCAGGAAAAGTGTAAAAATTCAAAAGTGAAATAAAAAATTTTATCAGTTGGAAAAAAAAAAAAAAAAGAAAAATACTTGATTAAGGAAAGATTCTCTCAGGTTATTTTTGTAAGAAATAAAGGATGCATGGGTTAAATAAGTACCACTTCACTGTGGTACTTATTGATCTCTTGGGGGGAAATGTGGCTATAATCCCTCACTCCCCTAAATTCTTACAAGGTTTAATAGCAAACTCAATTTCAGCTTGATGACTTCATTTTGACTTCAGTTTTGTCTGTGGTGCCCCACTGCAAGAGCTTATTAGTCAAAAACAATAGTTGCCTGTATTTTTTTTTAACAGTTGTGCCAAGGGTGATAGATGAGAGTAATAGCAAATTACAAAAAGATATTAAAACTCTACAAGGTAGACTCTGTTCTTAAAGCTACTAGCTCTAGTTGTTTCTTCAAGTGCAAGGAGGTGCACTGGCATAGTCTAAAAACCAAAGACTTTGGGAGAAAATTTAGCTTGCGCATGCAGGAACAGTGTGAATTCATTTCTAAAATATATTGCTTATCTGTTCTCCAGCAATGTTTGCACTAAGCTTATGTTTTCATACCCATGTTTAATGTGAGCTAAAAGGAAAATGATTTTTTTAGCTTCTACTATGCGCATATAATTCAATGACCTAGTTAAGCAGAACCTAGATTCAGAAGTTGGATTTAATTTTAAAATATTATGCAGCTATTCTTATTATTTCTGCTGTTATTTGAGATATATATTATATTATCGTTTCCATTTAAAATATGACATTGCAGAACAGTATGTCAAAAGATGGAAATACATCTGTAGGATTTTAATGACCTATAAACTTTTTTTAGTAACAATTCACATTGAAGGTGTGATAGAGATCAGCTGTAAATGAAATTCATACCTTAGCTATTTTCAGTTCTGCTAATGCATTAATTACCAAAAATGATGAAAATAGAGATCAGGTAATATTTGCAGATGCTTCCCCTATGCCAGTCATTGCAATATACATTTCACAAAGTCATTTCCCATTTATGCTTCACAACAACACTCTGGCATTTGAAAGAGCTACAGGGAGACGGGGGAAAGAGAAGGATCTTCGATGTGCTGGTTCACTACCAAGATAGTTGCAATAGCTAGGCCTGGGCCAGGCCTAAGCCAGGACTAGTTGGGTAGGTCCCAAGTATTGAGCCATCCTTTGATGCTTGTCCAGGCTGTTATCAGTGAGCTGCATTAGAGGAGCAGCCTGGACATGAACTAGCACCCATGTGGGATTGTGGCACTGTAGGAGGAAACTTTACACACTATGTCACAAAACATAGTGTTGTGGAGAGGGATGCATGCCCATGTGGACCACTGATAAGGGTAGGGAGGGTCAAGGAATGGAGGAAAGTGGGTGAGACAACTGCCTTCAATTTCCATTTCTTCTTCTGGTGTACGGGAAAAGTGAGGAAGGAGAAAGGGCCACTCCCAGCAACCCAATCATATCAGTACCCGGGAAAGGGGGAAGACCACCTGATATCATCTTAGGGTACCCAATGTGGAGTGGGTTCCGAGGACACTGATTAAATGTTTTTGGAAGTTATGACGTGCGCTTGATTTTGTCGTTCCAAGGTTCAGGAAATCCTCCCAAGGTTCATTGGCTGACACAGTCCACTTTAGAGTCTCTATTTGCAAGATATTCACTGTCAAGACTTGTGTGGGAAAGAGTTGTCCCATTTTTTTCTTCCATCTTCTGCCACTGTACTAGATATCCTCTGCAGGCCTCAATGAACTGGTTGTTGTGTCCCCATGAGCATCTGAGCATGTGGTCCACCACACAGGCCTCAACAACCGAGCAGTCCCAGTTCTGACACATGCACTCCACGGTGGGACCACATATCCTGTGATTTTCACTGTGGTTGGAGTTCTGAGTGTGGTGATCCAATTGGGGTGGTTCCCCAAAAAACCTCCCCAGAGGTGACCCCAGACCTTATTTCTGTGTGAACCAATCAGTGCGGAATCCAGCTCAGGCTATTACCCACATCAGCTCTGAACTGACACCTTTAAAATCAGATGTCACTTTTCTGCATGTTTATGCTACCATGATATTTTGTAACAGTTGGCCAGAAGTTCTGTCTCTGTGGTTCATGGACTGTGAAATGCATGAAGGGTGGAAATATAGTTATATTCTGAAGAATTCATAGATTTATTTCACTGTGTCGTGTTTTCCCATCAGCAGCAATTTAGGAAGAAGAAGAGCAAGAGATTTATGAAAATGTAATGCATAACAAGTTTTGTTTTAAACACTCTTCAGATAACCCACTAATTTAATTTTCATAAGTCTCATGAAATAGATACCATATGATGGCGATTTTACAGATGAGCAATCTGAGGCTTGAAGAGATTAAAATAACAAATCTATGCCCATTCAACTGTTAAGTAGTGGAGCGAGGATTTGAACCCAGGCAGCAAAGCAGCTGAGCTCCACTAGAGTCCCAATTCCTTATGACTATCCTACCAATAAATATATAAATGCAAACCAATTAATAGCAGTGCTATTATCCTTTGAATTAAGAAAAATGTTTTATTTCTTGTTTATTCACAACAATCTTTGTCACAAAACTCTGGTTTAACACTGTTTATTTCTTTTAAACAGACAGTAATTCAGGATGTACTGGATATTGTAGAGATGGAAACAAAGGATAAGTGTCCCAACTTTGTGCTGTTAGTACTTTGGGCTTCTCTGTCTAATGCTGTTCCTGTAAGTATGTATACTCCAATTTCATTTTTCCCCCTTTCTTGTTCTCTTTTAGCCTCCATTAAATTCTTTCTCTTATGAAGTACAAGTAAAAGACTGCAGTGGTCTTGGTTGTGAGATTAAAAAAGCAAAAATGAATGTGATTGAAATTTGACTTATTTACAACGGAAGCCAAGAAAAGATCTAATTGAAAGGCAAAGTGTCAGCAAGTCAAGGGGAAAAAGCTTATCCATTGGGGCTGTTGTGACCCCAGCTGCATACAGAACATTATCTGTGTGTGGTGTGTACCCACCATTGTTACTACAGAGATTAATCAGCTTTGGCCCCTAATTTTTGTTGGGAAATAGGTTAATAGATAGTCTTATATAGAATTGGATTTGAATGTGAATGGCCCTAGCCATAGCTGGAGTGCCATGGCAGTGGCTTAAACTCCGTCTCCATTTTCTTATTGATAAATGAGAGATGATGTACAGGAAACTCCTAGCAGGGCCCTACAACTTGAGTGCTCACCAAGAGGCAGCTGTGGTACTCTACCAAGTTGTGAGATTTCAGTGACATGGGCATAGCTGGTACTGAAAGAATGTGTGCCCTTTACTCCTCAGTGCAGCATTGCCGTTTGGCATCGCGACCTATAAAATAGCCTGTAAGTGGGACTGGTAGTATTAGAACTCATGACACTTCTGAAGAAAGTAGAGACTGAAATACGTGTGTGTGTGTGTTGTGTGTGCGCACGCACGAGCATGTGTGTGTGAACTAGATAAGTGGTGTTGCCTGCCACTTCTGTTTTAGTACCCACCAGGTTTCCAGGGCTGGAGGCTCTCACACTAGCCTAAGCTGCTACTTATGGTATGGCATATTTAGTATTTTAATATTTGATGTTTGTGCTCCACCACACAGGAACTCTCACTGTCTTTAAAATGTCATTTTTTCCCTAACAGTCAAAGGAATGATATTTCGAGTGTTATTCATTAATCCCTGTTATGAAGTCCTAGATTGTTAAAGCACTTTCTAAATCGTGATATTCTGAGTTCCTTTAGTCTGTCATGTAACTTGTTGGGTAGAAAACAGAGGTGTAGAAACCAGCTCAAGTTCATGTCAAGTGGGAAAATACGTATTTCATCAGGCACGGCCAAGGAAAAATAATATGATTATTTTCTCTTCTTTGTGCATCTTAAATACTATTCTCTGTTATTTTTCCTCCTAGGTCATTTCCTTAGACACTTATTAAGCTAGATCAAAATTAAAAAGGAAGCAACAAAACGATTCCCCAAGCAGCAATGAACAGGCAGTCCTCTCAGAGCATTAATTTTCAAGATCTTGTTAAGAAGTTTCCCTGGAAGAGAGCTGCACAAAGTCCCATTGATCTGACACAGGGGAAGTCAGTTATTTGAAATTTCTTCCTGGTACTTACCTGAAAGCATTGAATCATTCATTTCAGAAAAAGAGTGTATGATGACTAGCAAAGCTTCTGTCTTATAGTGGTTGTTGGCACTCTGAGAGGCAGCCTAGTGTGTGAGTAGAGACCTTCGAAAGGCTTTAGTCAAATCCAAAGCCAGTTTCCTGCACTCGATGAAATGGGTAAATTACCTACCTCTCTACAATGTCAGTGTAATCATGTGTAAACTGGGATCAGTGCTGCCCGCCTCAAAGGCTTGTTGTCAGGATTGTATTAGTTTAAAATAAGTAGTTAACAGTAACTAGCCTAACAAATGCATCCAATAGGTGTTAGTCTTCTTCACTAAAGGAAAATTGTTGCCCTCATTTCAAATAGGCATACTTTCAGTGGCCCACTAGTAATAAACATAGGCAACCTGAAAGTTCTGAAGTTTTGACTGCTCTGAGTCCTGGGGGAGACTGGCACAGCTGTCCTGCTTTTGGCTCCTCCTGTTGCTGCTCAGAGTTGCTGAAACTTTGAGGCGGGAGGACCTGTCATCACTGGATCTAAGTCACAATCCTTCTAATGTCCCTTGTCAGGTTCTGTGCTTGGACTCAACTTGGCCTGTGGGACTCTGAGGTCTGGTTTCAGGTGGATCTATCACTGCAAAGTCTCCTTATGCATTAAGTCAGCTTTGCTGGGCAACCTCAAAATATTAACTGTAATCAACAAAATTATTTCTGTGGGGAAACCATTTCCAAGTTCCAGGAAATTCCAGATGGCCAGCTCAACTATTTATTTTTTTAAGAGATTGAGTTTTACTGGAAAGGCAAATCATATTTACAGAAAGGAGAGACACAGAGAAAGATTGTCCATCCCTCTGGTTTACTCCCCACTGGCTGCAATGGCCAGAGGTAAGTCAAACCAAAACCAGGAGCCAAGAGATTCTTTTGGGTCTCTAGTGTGGGTGCAGGGTCCCAAGGCTTTGGGCCATGCTCTGCTGATTTCCCAAGCGATAAGTAGGGAGCTGAAGTGAAGTGAAGCAGCTGGGACACAAACTGGAACCCATATGGGATCCCAAGCACTTGCAAAGTGAGGATTGAACTATTAAGTTATCAAAACAGACTCAAGTTCAACTTTTTTTTTTTTTAAATAAGATATATTTTACTTTTGCTGGAAAGTCAGATATACAGAGAGGAGGAGAGACAGAAAAGAAGATCCTCCATCCGTTGAGTCACTCCCCACATGGCCACAATGGCTGGAGCAGAGCAGATTTGAAGTCAGGAGCCCAGAGCCTCTTTTGGGTCTCCCACGTGGCTGCAGAGTCCCAAGGCCTTGGACTGTCCTTGACTGCCCTCTAAGGTTACAAGCAGAGAGCTGGATGGGAAGCAGACTGCTGGGATTAAAACCAGTGCCCATATGGGATCCCAGTGGATGCCAGACAAGGGCCTTAGCCACTAGGCTACCACACTGGGCCTGTCACATTTTTGAGTTGTTTCTCCAGACCACCCCTAAAGGAGACATTTCACTTTTTCCCTTTGTTTCATTCAAAAGTTCTTTCTAAATATTTTCAGTAGGAACCATCATTTTGCCCCCTTACAGCAATTACCAGTGTGGCACATTTGGCCTGTCTTGTACATTTAAGCCCTTCTCTCCCCTTCTGTATTTCATGTCCCCAGCTAAGTATGAAAGTCTTTAACAGAAATAGTTTTATATGAGGACTCTTCAAAAAGTTTAGGAAAATTGCACATTATAGGAAAACTATGCATGGATTTCAAAATTGTTTGGCACCCAAATACCTTTGAATTGCATTTTCCCATAATTTTAAATTTGAGAGGCAAAGATAGAGACTGGGAGGCAGACAGAAAGCTGTCAGATCTGCTGATTCCCCACCTCCATGCCCAAAAGAGTTGGAGATGGCCAGGTGGAAGCCAAAAGCCAGCGACTCAATCTAGGTCTTGTATGTGGTCCCAGGAACTCAACCCTTATGCTGGGCAGCTGGAGTTGAGGGTTGAAGATGAGATTCAAACCCGGTTACTTCTAATATGGCACAAAGTCACCTTAATCAGAATTATAACCACTAGGCGTACACACCTGTTGGTTCACAAACTTTTTGAAGAACCCTTGTACATATATATATTTTTTTACATGTTTAGTTAGTAGACTATCTGGCATGTTAAAGAGACTCCATCGATGCTTGTTTTATATATATATGATTGAATACATGGTGCTGATGGAGAACCATACTTTAACTTCTATTTGACACAGCAAAGACACAGACTTTTCTTGTCCCTCCTACTTTGTTCCTAATGTTTCTAAGTGGTGCAAAGGCAATGTGGTGGCTGCTCCTGCAGTCCAGTAGACCAGGTGTCCTTCTCCCTTTGGCCTAAGACTGACCACGGACTTCATCCTTCTGGAGTCAAATGCTAATCGGTGTTACTGTCAGCAGTTTTTAGCTCCATTCCTAGATCTGGGTGCACAAAGATATCAGGATCACTGATGTTACTTATCGATTCAGTAATTCATAAATTCTTTTATTAGCTCTTTACATACCTTTACTTTTCAAAAATTACTCTTATTTTAATATAATCAGTAGTAGACTTTTTTAATTTGTGAAAGAAATCTGTTGAAAGTGAGGCTTTAAGGATAGCACTCTAGTACAAACATTAGGGGTTAAGCTGAATTCTTGGTGATTTTTCATAGGTATTATCCACTGTTAGTGAATCTCTACAACCACAGCTAGGCACTTAAAACTTCAAACTAGGCCTGCTCTGTGTAACAGAAAGTCCATGTACTGTCAGTAAGACTTTTCTCCACCAACATGAAATCTGACCCTTTCAATGAAATCGATTGCTTATGGAGTGCTTATCTTCAGCACTCCCATCTAGATGTGAGTTGGCAGAGCCCGAACAGGGAGAGATGGGAGATGGGACCTCTCCCGAGTGTCTTTCTTCACTTATGAAAGGGCAGGATCTTGAGAGTGAGTCATCTGTGATCTGGATGGCACCCTCAAGGACCATCTCAGATTGTGTTGGGGTCTTACTCCAGTGTTCAGCTTGTTTACCTAAACTGTGCCATGTATTTCCTTGCTCTGTCAATGCAGTGTCACACAGAGTAAACCACTTTGAACTTGGTCTGTCTGAACAGTTTTGGGAGTTGTTCTTCCCCTTTTGACCACAGAGGGGAGCATTGGGATTATGAAGGTACATATTACCTCAGGAAAGAATCAGTAAGATTGCAGTTACACGAACTACCCGAGTCATTTTTAGGACTGATTTTCCTAGACATTTCTTTGGCAATAAATATGCATGGCAAAACAGTGAAAGAGATGCCCATTTTACTTTTTATGAGTTTGTGCAGGTTTCCTTTATTATAACCTAAGAATAAAAGCCGAAGCAACTACCTGAGTAAGAAGCTAAGCTTTAAGCTGTGACCGTATAACTTTCTCTTTTAATACCATAACAAAGGGAGACATGAAATAATCTTGACTGGCCGAAAGTGACAACTTGCAAGTATATGGGCATGCTGTGATAAACAACATTCATATGTGGAAGGATACTTTTTTTATGTTGAGTACACATAAGTTAGGTGTTGTTTTTAGGCATTTTAATTATTTTTCCCTGGGGTCATTTAAAATTACCATCATTATCATAATATGCAGTATACAAGTTTATTTGTATTTTAAGAAAATTAAGTGAAAACGGTTTTGATATGGTAGCTAAGCATTCTTAGATGTCATAATATATTGCTTCTGATTCTTTGATATATGCCTACATAATATTTGATATGGCTTATTAAATAGGAATCATTTTTCTCAAATTTTAGTAAACATTAGAGTTTAATGTGTTGGAGAAATGTACTTAAACTAATAGTAACAGTATAAAATCATACATCTTTCTTATTCCTAAAACTCAGTTCTTTTCAAAAGATGTTCTTTACTAACATTTAATTTAAATATTGCTTATGTATAGTTCATACTAAATATTCTTGTGCTTGTCTTCAAAGTTCTTATTTTTGAATTATGTTTTTCTATTTCAGATTGCATTTTGGACACTTTCATTTATCCTTTCTCATCCTGACATCCACAAGAGCATTATGCAAAGCATTTCATCTGTGTTTGGTGCAGCAGGTACTAAACCCAAGTTAAATCAAGTCGTTGAAAATACAATTAATAGTCTATGTTTGTCATGCAGTGCTGGCAAAATTAAATGTTTAAAACTTTATAGAAATTTCACATATTCTAAAATTCAACATCTTATTATGTATTTCAGGATATAAATTGATCATGTGCAATCCCAAAGGTTTGTTAGTGTAAATTATTTAGAAAACATCTAGTCCAACTCGCTTATTTTCCATATGAAGAAATAAGCACAATAGATACTGAGATGTTCTTAAATTCCTGACTTAAATAGATACATGAAATTTGTCTTCTAATCTCTTGGAATATCACCTCAGTTAAACTGCAATTTCAATGTTTAAATTCAGGATTTTTCAGATTTTATAAAAGCAAAATGGAATCTATTTCATATATTACATAACAGCACTAGTTGGGCTATGGAGGTCAGGTAAAGTTTGCTACCACTAGAGATTGACTAAAACAAAATATAAATCAAACCTGATAAAGCCAGTTAAAGTAGTCATTAGACATTTGAGAATTTTTTAAATTACAGAGAAGGGATTGTTGTCTTGAACTTTTTAGTTCCCATTCAGGCTCTTCATTTATCAATTCTTTAAAAAAAGTAAGCTCAATTGGAGAGGGATTAACTACTTGTTAATTCAGTATAGATTGGCCAGTTTTTTATTCTGATATTAAAATAATAGCAAATTATTTGTATTTATTGGAGGAAACAATATAATATTATGATAAAAGGTATGATGCCAGTTAGCAGTTGTCCCTGCCCTCATTGTTTAACATGTTTCATTTGAAACTTTTGGTTTATTTTAGATTGTTTCTTGTTTTATTACATGTAAAAGTAAGTGGGCTTGACCAACAGAAGTGCCTAAGCATCACTGTCTAAGCCGTCAGTGTGAGCCTGCAGATGCTGGACTTGACTCACAGAGACGGTGCTCATGAGTATCACCGAGTGCCAGCAATGCTAAGATGCCTGCGACACACTGTAAACAGAGAAGACCGCAAGGCTACTCATTTTTCACAGGGAAAGCAAATGAAGGTGTTACATTCCCACGTGACTACCAGTAGAAAAATTTGAAAGTACCTTTGGTCCCTTGATAATAAATACCCAATGTACCCTTGATGATAAATGGTCATTTATTATCACTTACCAAGTATTTTTTTTTTACTAGAATGTTTTCCTGACTTATATTTTCACAGACTTCTGGTGTTTAGAAGATAATAGAGTGGAGATAGTGGCATGGTAGGAGTAATGTGTGGAGCCTATCTGAGACAAAGGCCATGGAGGTCAAACGTTAATGTCTTTATTTCTTTTGAAAATTTCTATACTTCTTGCACTTGGAATTATTAAATATATTATGTACAGAAAGACAAAATGTTTTCTCTTTTTCTATTTTCTTCCTCATTTTCAGAGCTCATATTTTTCCCTTGACAAACAACAGTGCCAGGGAACTAGCCATACTGTCTCAGTGCTTTCAGCCTGTAAGACACTGTTATTTACTTGAAGACAATTTGTGTTAAGAAAGAATCAAGCATTTTTACCATGCTTATATGAAAGAAGTTTATGAGGGTACTGGTGTTGTGGTATTCGGGGTAAAGTTGCTGCCTGGTATGTTGGCCTTCCATAGAAGTGCCAGTTTGAGTTCCAGCTGCTCCGCTTCGATCTAACTGCCTTTCAAATAAATCTCTTTTAAAAATCAATTTAGATGAATCCGTGGATAAGCTATCATTACTAAGGACCCAGAATTTGATACAGTGGATTCGTGTGCTTTCTGTGACAATGGTCTTCCCATGTGAATTCTGGTTTTAGATTTGGATGCTCCACTTCCCATCTAGCTCCCTGCTAATGTATATGCCTGGGAAGGCAGCAGAAGATGGCTCCAATTGCAGAACCCTTGCCATCCATGTAGTGTACTTGGATGGAGTTCTAGGCTCCTAGATTTATCCTGTTCCATCCCCGGGGAGTAATGCGGCCATCTGGGAGTAAACCAATGAATGGAAGATTCTCTGTCTTTCTTATCTATCCTTCCCTTCTCTAACTTCCTTTTAAGTTTACATATTTTTAAATATATGATACTAACTCAGGAATTTAGTGATGAGAGGAGACCTTATATCTTTGGAGGTTGATGTCAAGGAAGATATGAATGCATCTGTACAAGGGACTCTGTGAAGGAATATCCATGCATCTATACAAGGCACTAACGAACTAAAGTCCATCTTAATAGGGTTCTCTAGAGAAACAGAACCAACAGGAGATGAATGGATTGATGGATGAGTGAATAGATTAAAGGATAGATCTAGAGATTTATTTGGTATAATTATGGATGTTGACAATGTATTTTTTTGTAATGTGTGGCCGCTGGAATCTCGCAGTTATTGTAGTGGTCAACAAATAATTACAAAAAACAAACAAGCAAACACACAAAACTTGTGTACAACAGAAAGCTATAAATATTCTGTTCTTTACCCAGAATCTCTGTATATGTGTTGTAGTGTACCCTTCGGCACTCAGCCAGGAGGCTGACGAATGTCCCTTATAATTTACTTCTTCTTTGTGCAGGCTCAGTGTAATGGTGAGAGCTCAGTGCATTTTTGGGTCTTTTCTGAGCGTGAACATAACCCTAGGCTAATGCATGGCTTTGGACTTTCTCTAGAATACACTAGAACTGCTCAGTGTTGCTATGGAACTCTGATTCCTCTAGCTTTTCATTTACACTTTTTTGTTTGTTTGTTTGCTGGCTGTTGATCCCAACTATTATCTAGTGCCTCAGGTAGCTGCAAAATTAAGCAACTGTTTTTAAGGATTTTCAGCTAGCATTGCAGGAGACAAGGCCCTTACTCTATGCCAGAACCATGTTAGGAGTTTAGAATATACAAATAGAAAGAGATTAGTTCCTTATTAGTGCTTACATTCTGATAGGGAAGATAAGAAATTAACAATAAATTTAATATATGAACAACTCTAAATAAACATATATAAAAGAAAACAGAGTGGAATAGGGAAAATTAGGAGTACCAGGAAGGAGGACAGGAAATAGAAGTAAGTAGATGAATAAGAGTGTATCTTATCATCAAAGTGAGATTTGATCATGTAGTCAAAGGTGGTTAGGAATTAGACAAGCAGGTATCTAGAGGTAGAGAGGATTGGGGTTAAAGACAACAGGTGTGACCTCAAGCTGTGCTCGTGATACATAATCTGATTTACTTTGATTATTTAGAGAGGATACATAAAGATAAGCCATCATGGCCTCCATCTCCATGCCTAATCCTTTCCAGTCTCCTTCACCCTGCAAACTGGAAGGGCCGTAGCTTTCAGACCTCCCTGCTCACATGAACTTCTGCCTTATGTAGGTGTCCCTAGCATAGATAGCTCACACACACTGATCATGGCAGGAAATCTTCTCATCCTCACCCTGCCCTCTCTCACAACAGTAGGGTAAGCCCATACCCCATCCTATGGCTCCATTTGCGTGAACCAGTAGCTGAACACTGAAACTTCTAGGTTTTGCTCCACATTGTTCCCTCTGGTGACTGTTTCTATAATCTACCAGTAAGATTTCTTGAAGATGAGCAAAAGAACAGTACTAACTGATTTAGCAAAAAAAAAAAAAAAAAAAAAAAATTAGGGAAGGTTTATCAGGTAGTGAACACAGCTTCTCAAGAGAGTTGAACAACCAGGCTTGGAGAGTGCACAGCCAGGAATCCTGCTTGGAAGCAGGCTGCAGACGTGGTCTGGCACATTGTGGCCAGTGGAACAGGAGTCTGAATGACCCAGGAACTTAATTGTGCAAAAACTGCAGTTGCTGACAGGCAAAAAATTTTCAATCTCCATTTCTTTTTTTTTAAGGTTTATTCTTATTATTTTCTTTTATTGGAAATTTAGTTCAGATTTATGGAAGGAAAATGAGAGAGAGAAAGATCTTTCATTCGCTAGTTTACTCCCCAAATGTATGCAACGGCCAGAGCTAAGCTGAGCCAATCCAAAGCCAGGGGCCAGGAGCTCTTCCAGGTCTCCCACGCGGGTGCAGGGTCCCAAGGTTTAGGCCATCCTCTACTGCTTTCCTGGGCCACAAATATAGAGCTAGACAGGAAGTGGAACAGCCTGGACACAAATCAGCACCCATGTGGAATCCCAGCACATGCAAGATGAGGATTTAGCCACTAGTCTATCAAGCCAGGCCAAGATAATATATACATTTCTATGTATATATGTAAGTATAAGAGATAAATATATTTGCAATACTATTGCAAATACATACCTTAAAAAGTGTTTCATGAATGTAACAATTTTTCATTTTATAATTATAAATATCTTAATGCAAATATAGTGTTTCAACACATTCCTGAGTTTCAATCCTGGCCAGCATTAATGATATGATTTTGGATAAAAGTGCATTCTTTTGGGGTTGTTGTGGTAGCACATTATGCTAATCCTCCAGTTGGTCATACCAGCATCCAAAACAGGCACTGGCTATTCTACTTATCATCCAGCAAGGGGAGCATGTAGTGGCCTTGAGTCCCAAAACTCACATGGCAGACCAGAAGGGAACTCCTGGCTCCCAGCTTCAGATCGGCTTAGCTCTGGTTGTTGGGGCATTTGGTGAATGGGCCAGCAGATGTAGAATCTTTCTCTCTCGCCTTCTCTCTCTGTAAAATCTGTCTTTCAAATGAAAATAAAGTGGATCTTTCAATACAGAAAATGAAATCATTCTCAGAGCCAGGCAGTAATGTTTTTGGTCCCACCATGTTGACATAACATCAGCCCTAATGGGGGACATATCAACGCTGAGTGGTGACGAGCTATTTTGCATAGTGACAATGACTCAGATAGCTATATCGTGTAACCATTAGGAAAAGATCCTTTTTCTGCATATAACAAGTATAAAACTAGTAAAGTGATAGATGAAGCTAGGATCCCATGGCAGTATTCTTGGCAAACTCTATGTTGTTTGAGTTATTTTAATTGATTAGTAAGTTTTTCTTCATTGTGTTAAACA